CAGTTCCTGCGGCAGATCCACGACGGCTTCGCCCTCATAGGGAACACGGGCCCCTACGAGGTCTCCAAAAAGCTGCACACGCTGCGACAGAGCCTGGGCAAGGTGGAGGACGCCTGCTACACGCTGCGGGTCCGCGGCTCCGAGATCCCAAAGCACATGCTGGCGGACGTGTTCAGCTGTAGGACCACACTCATGGATCCAGAGGAGGGGGCGGTTTAATCCCAATGTCCCGAGCGCCGCCTCCGTTCCTTTTAGCGTCGGCTCTCATTTGTCGTGTTTGCATTTTTTAAAACGGGATTTGAAAGATGTTTTATGACATGTTTTTTTTTTCTTCTTGTTTTTTTCTTAATTTACAGTAAGAGCGCCGTTACAATAGACAATGGTTTTTCTTCTTTGATAAGGATCCGATGACTTCAGATGTTTTGCTTGAATAAAAGCTCTGTGCCAAATATGCCATGCTCTCCCAGTCTTTAAGCGGCTTTGATAGTGTGTGTTTATTTTATTTTCTCCCTGCCCCCCCCCCTCTCTCTATCACACACAGATAATCTAAGGTGGAACCATTGGCTGCCTGTTCTCACCACATTTGTGTGGATGAGGAACATGCAACCTTTGTATGGTGGCAGTTACACACACACACATACACACTCACACACAAACGGCCCCTTTTCTTCACTCTCCTCTCTTAACGCTCCTCAACCCGCAGTGTTGACGTCCATTCTGAAGAGTGCACAGAGGTGTATTCCTGGCAGAGAGCTGGTATCCTCCTCCTGCTGCTTCCTCCTCACCTGATGGTGTTTGTTTTCTCTGTCCAGATGGACGTTTGAGGTACTGAGAAACAGTCTTGTGTTTTGTGCGTGAGCAGAGGCAATGACGGTTTCAGCTACCTCAAAATCGAAAGTTCTGCGTTGTGTTATTGAAAAAGAAAATGAAGCAGCTGTAACCCAAAATCAAGCACGGCTTTATCAGATCGGGACCATTAGAACTTTTACCTTGAGTCATTTCTCTTGCAACCAGGAAACAAAACTGTTTTATCATTGTGTGATAATGTCTGATAAAGGAGCTCTGACCGGTCAGGGCGTGGATAAAGAAAAAGTGATGAAGTCTGCACAGCAGCCTGGTACCAGGTAATCAGAGGTAGGTCTTTTGAGCCCATATGGGTTGTTAAGTTGCCATGGTTCCAATATAGAAGCCATTGGATCATTTAAAATGATCCTGTGGACTATGGATTCTAAGCTAAAACCTTGCAGTCTTTCATGTTCTTTGTATCCTCCTGAAGCCTTTTTTTGTTACACTCTCTGCTGTCATACTGTGGGATTCAGCTTCTTTAAGAGATTTCAGTTGCTACCTCTATGAATGATTTATTCTACTCTGACTCTTGTTCCAGCCTTTAGGCCACGTGATGTAAGCACTAATAGCAACTAAAAATAAAGCCAGTGGAACAAGAAGAATCAAGTATTTGAGAAGCCTGGCATCTGCTGGTCAAAGCAGGTAACACGTCAGAAATTGAGCCAAAGCAATATTTCAAATGTTTTTAATTTTCAAAGAAGTTATCGTTTTGGGCCAGAAATCTGCTTCTCAAATCATGGAAAAGATTCTGGATTATTATTATCTTTTGTAAGAGCCCTGACATTGGAAACCTGTGGACTTCTTGATGTTTTTCTCCAAGTAATGATCATTAATAGACGCGTGACAAAGGATATTACCATTTTGGGATTAGAATTAAAACTAAAACACTGTGTCGGTGTGATTCGCCATTGAATAATTATTCAAAAGAATATTCACTGTAAATTAAAATGTTGAGGCTGGGTTGAGCCGACAGTGGGGAACATTTCACGAATGCATTCATTCCAGCTCGTTTACAGCTGTCATTGCAATACGTCCCAATAGTAAAAAAGTGATTATTCCTTATTTTTTTGTCAGAGGACATTAAAAGCATCGGAAATACAAGAGGGGCAGCAGACGATCTCACCCTGATATTGTTCAGTAAGTATGGTTTTCCTCCTTTCCGCTTGTACTGATCCACTTTCTGCTGGACTGAGCCTTTAAAAAAAAAAAAGCTTGAACGGTTCTGCCCATGTGCCAGCAGGGCTGAATGAAAGGCGCTATTGGAAGTGTGGGAAGAAGGATGAAAAGAGCGCTCTTTGTGGGGTCTGGAGTTTTGTTCCACGCGCAGATTCTCCACAGTGCAGAAACAAAGAGACATTCTGTAGAGGCGTCAACATGTGCGTGCCATATCTGACTGAAAAATACACTCAAAGTACTTTTTTACAGATAATTGAGTTCCAGTGAAGGAGTTTTTTTTTCACTACAAACGATTTCATTAACAAAGGGATGTCTCCACATTATGCGCATTTGAACGGTTATGACTGTTCTTCGTGGCGATCTGAAATGCTTATAAAACAAAGCGTGCAGGAAAACGTTCCGTTCGGTACAATGCCCGCTCCTCAGCTACAGCAGACTGTCCGCTGGGGTTCGACAATCTACTGCTGCTGAGGACTGGAGTCAAATTCCTCAACACGTAGGAGCTCCTCACGTTGCTCCAGCATGACGCGTGACGCAGGGGCGCAGCAACTAACGGATTACTGATCAATCATCTATACGCCAAGAAATCGCCTTGTTTCGTTCTACTAGGACCGTGACTCCACGCAGTGAGATATATATATTTCTTTTTTTCTTTTAAAAAACGTGTCATGAGGAGCTTTTATCCATCTGGACCGTGTGTTCACGCGCAACTGGACCCATTTTGCCGCAGAGAAGAAAACGTAAGAACCTGATCCAATGAACAATCAATAAGCAACCGGTGTTAGAATACGCTTAATATAAGCAGAGAAAAAAAGCCGCTTTCAATAGCTTTTCACAAGTTGAGGGGAGTAGAAATCAGTCTTGAGTCACTTTCCACAACGGAAATGAGATCAGTCCTTTTGCTTGGCTCCGCTTTTTCTAAAACATGGTCGATGTAACTCTGCTGTACCGAGATCTGCCATTCTTCCACTTCTCAGTACAAACCGCTTTTTTTTATGAACAGGAGAAATGTTTGCTGGACTGATGGGACTCGAATGCCACAACAACTCACTGCGTAACCGCTGCGAAGTCACTGAAGGTAAAGAATCTGTTTCGCACTACTGTCATCTGCTTCTCTCTCAGTGTGATCCGCTGCAGGGATTTGGCAGATTGTTCATTCTATTTTTGTTACGACCCAATAAATTGAAGAGAATAATGACTGTTACCACTAAGTAAAGGGGATGAGGTCCTGGAAGAGTGGCTCATGAAGGTTTTTGATGAGTATTCAGAAGGTGTTAATATGACTAAGTTTCCAAACTTTTCTAGGTAAACAAACGTTCTGCTCTCTAGATCCACTCTCACCGAGTTTCAGTTTCTGGAAAATGTCCATAAATGCTCGCTGTCACCCAGGTCAGGTCCCAGGGGCCAAAGCCCCTGCCTATAGGAGGAGTGATGCGAGGTGATGAGTTGAAAATGGCTTATTTCTCTCCCTTTGAGTATTGAGACAGATGAGTCATGCTGACACAGTTCTATCTATCTTGCACATCTACTAACCTACAATCTGAAGCTACCTGTGATTTAGTAATGTCTATGCAAGGGGTCTATAAGACATGGAACAGCATTTCTTTGGCCTACTTTCTAAAATCTGCCAGGAAGTCAAGAAGAGCTTCAGAAATAGCTTCCTGCATTTTTTGTGCCCTGGTTTGTATGTTTATTTCAACATTTCCCCATTATTTCCCACATTTTGAAATAGCTTGATGAAGCTGGACAGTATATGACTCAAAACTACAAAAAATTGCTTAAAATGAACACATTTAGATCAAGTGCATATATTCAAATGGTTTGTGATCCTCGTGTGAGCATGCAGGAGGTGGAGCACTTTGCTCTTTTTAGCCTCCCAAAGCGGAGATGTGAATCTGCAGTGTTACATTGCACAGTTAAGTTTCCTGTCAACTAAAAAGTATTGTTCTCAGATTGTTATGTGTGGGCCACTCTCACTTCCCCATTCCTACTGCCGTGGCCAGTCACAAGTGGCGTGGAGTCAGACATCTGCAGAGCAGCGCTGCTTCTCAGGAGGTTGCTGACATGCAGATCTGCTTGTGTCTGCCCCCGGGTGCTGATCTTGTTCCTCGAACGTTTGTGTTTTTATGAGATCCTATGCATTCCTCCGCTCTTTGGCTAAGCACTTTCGAGCGACCAGTGGGATGGAGAGTTTAACCTGAAGGGCTCTGAGGAGGGCCTCTTTAATCTCCAAAGGTAAATAACTTTGGCTGTGGAGCTTCGCCGTCTCAGTGTTTGTGCAGCATTACTACAGGACAAGGAGCAACAATTTACAATAAGAATACTTTTGGTGCTGCAGTTTCATCCGTTCTTCTGCTTATTTGTGTTTTTCTGCCGGAATTCCTGGCAAACCTTTGGAGCTCAGAGCCTCACAGGAAGCAGCGAATGACAAACGTCTGGAAGGCTGAGATGTAGATGCCCCAGACACACACATGCATGCATAAACACAAAGATAGACCCACATGCTTACAGAATGAGCCCTTTGGCATTTCCTTCCCTTTTACTGGGAAAAGTCATCTGTAGGAAATTTGAGTATAGTGCAAATGAAGTAACACTATCAACAGGCTCTGTTACTCCTTAGAGGGGTGCTCAGTATAATAAAAGCCTCCGCACCAGATGGTGGGCAGCATGCAGTTAAATTGGGTACCTACAGTGAGGGTTGGGTTTCTTAAATTGGCTATGGAACAGTGGCCACGTCTGCAAAGCAGTCCTAATGGAAGGAGCTTTGTGTAACTTGAGCTGTTCTGTGATGATGGTCCCAGTGGACGGAAAGCTCTTATTGAGCAGGGTCCTCTCCTCTAGACTCATCCAGCCTAGACACAATAGGAACTCCCCCATGTCACTTGTGCTGTAAATCCTGCTCCCCTGGCAGTGGATAACATTCCAACTTTCCCCTTAAGTGGTGTCTTTTTGTTCTTCTTCCTCTGTGGTCACATGGGATAGCTGAGAGTTGACATCATCGGAGCTCACACTGGCTGCTTTGGGCTGAATGTGTTTAGTGCTCCTCTGTCCTGTAACACTGTACAGCCGCAGACATCGGTTGCACCTCATAACCAAAGATACGAATTAGGACCGGCAATGGAGACTTTTGTAGTTCTCCTCACTGATAATGCAGTCGTGCTGTTCTCACAGGGTTTTTACAAAGGCAGCAGTATAACTGATCCCACTGTTTTCAGCACAAAAGTGTCAGTGTGTCTTTGTGTGTTTTTGGCGCGTGCATGAGTGGGGAGCGAAAACGGAGAGCCAAACGTGAAAGAGGGGGAAGCAGCTGTGCACAAAAGGGCTGTTGATTCCCATCATTTCAGCCCGCCTCCTCTTCTGAATTCTTATATGTTTTAATCATGTGGATGTGCAGCAGGTGTCTTTCTCAGAACACAAACTGGCCTTTATCATCTTAGTGCGAGCCTCTCAAGATAGGCTTGAAGCCGGATACATCGATCAGGTTACTTGTGTGTGTTTTTTTTGTAGTGGTGAATTGTCCAGTTTGCATTGTTAATTAGGTGATTTCAGCTTCTTTTGGGCTGCGTGGCACCTTACAAGACAGCGATACCTTACCTGACCTTACACGACTGTATTTTAATCAGACAAGAGCAAGAACAAATGCTAAGGTTGTTCCTTATCCACTAAATATGTGGGAAGGCATCTTTTCCCACATAGGTTAACAGAGTACAGTAGTGGTTAAAGGTTCAGTTATCAAAGTTAGTGAGGCCCTATCTGCTTTGTTATCATTCTTCTTTTTAAAAGATTTTTCCCCTTTTAACCAGTTGAAGAAAAAAGAAGAGATCACAATTTGAATTCATGGCATGGTCCACAAATTCCATCAGGGACCCAAAAAATATGGAGGCTGTTTTAAGTGGTCAAGTTCCACTTTTTTAACAAAGCTACAGAATTTGTGTGTTGGGTTTATTCTCATGTAGTCTCTGAGGTCAAATACTCACAACCGTCTAGAAACTCTGGTCTTATTTCAGTATTTGTGGAAGAAACTGTATAAATGTTCTTTTCTCTCCTCTGAGATATTCATTTCCCTTTAGCAATAAACATGTTATGGTCTTTCCATTTTGCTCATTGGATCTCACAGACATCAGAGCATTTTTCTGCTGTCTTGATGAACATCCCACTCCACTCTGTCAGATGAGTCTGTTTGTGTGCAGTCAGTGAGGTTTGATAAGTGGGTCCCTGATGCAGTGTGCCTGGGTTTTTTAAAGATAAACAAACTCAAATGTAGCGTCACGTGGCCACTGAGGGGCGTGGATTATCTGAAATGTGACTGTGCGGCTTTGGTATTTCCCAACAGCTGGAGCAGAACTGTGGGAAATGTCGCACAGCTGCCCAACTTGTTTTTTATTCACTTAGCAGACTGAGGAGAATTTTGCTCTTGTTGGACCACAGCAAGTTTAGCAACAACACAGTGCTTTACATTTTTGCGTAATTAGCACGCTTATCGTCGCATTTTCCTGTGTAGTCCGCGATTGCACTGTTAATCCCTCCGGCTCGATGAGCTCACACTTTATCTTCCTCATGGCCGTGCTGTCCAGCTTAATGGTTAATCTCCCCATGACAGGTGGCAGAGCATCAGGGACAGCTGGCAGCTCTGGCCGTAAGAGGTTCCACCGAAGACCAGGGTACATGAGAGGAGAACATTCCAGACTACCCAGACTACAATGCTCTGCTCATGGTCAGAGGGAGGAGGAGGAGGAAGAGGAGGAGGAGGAGGAGGACAAGGACAAGGAAAAGAGCACCACTTTGATTAGGAACGGAAAATCTGGACGTCGAGCTGGCCTCCCTGACCAAGGCAGCGCTCAGAGGCTTAGTCTAACTCCTGCTGTGGAAGTGTCCTTAATGAATCAGCCAACATGGAGCTCCTTGAGGAGTAGAAGCTCCCCCTGCTCTGTGACCCATCCTCACACATCCAGCCACGCAGCTGAGTCCACACAGTCACAGAGCAAACTCAGGCTGAGCTGCGGCCCGGCGCCCGAGTCTTCACAAGAGGACACGTTCAACTCCAGTTTCAGTTTCATCCAGCAGTCCCTCAGCTCCAGCCAGCGGACGAGCACAACCACTACACCAGTACACAAACCAAAGCCACTAAATCAGTCACCTAAAGCCCCAAACCTGCCAGAAACAAAATCAGACACTTTCTCCACTGAGCACATTTCGTCCAAGAACACATCTCCTCCCAAGCCACTGCTCCTGTCCACTCCGGGCGGCCCGGTCGAGAGAGAGGAGCAGTCAGCGGAAGGAAGGTTTTGGCGGGAATGTCTGTGGGTTTGTAAAGACGAGGCGTCCCGGAGTCTCGACATCGAGGCCACCTCCTCTCTGTCGGTGGACTCGGACACGGCGTCCGCTTCCTCTGTTACGTCCGGCTACGAGAGCGCCACACCTGCCTCGGAGCAAGGCTGGGACAACCTTGTGAAGAAGTACGAGGGCGTGCTTCAAGACTGCCTCCAAAACAACCGCACTCACACTAAGGTGGGTATTCCCGATATGAAAAGGACCAGCAGCCACAATCACTTTTCACTAAGGCACTTAAGTAAGTTTTTAAAAGAAAAACAAGCCTATTTGTTTCCCCACATTGTTCTTGCTTCTGTGTCAGCTAACAAGCTCCAATCTGCCACTTTCTTTTATTTTTTTAGAACTAATGTAACATTCAGAAAGTGCAAAGCTAATAAGCTCCACACAAAACGTGTGAAAACTTCTCTCAAAGACAAAGAGTGAAGTACAAAAAGAACATAGTTCAGGTTTCTTTTTTTTGACACACCCAGGACTAATACTTAGACTTTCTGGATTGTATACTTTAACACTCGGCTCCATAAACACCTTGTGATTAAAGCAACACGAGAAGGCCGGGTCTTGCTTTGTCAGGTTGTTTAATGTGAATAAAACACAGATAAAGGGAGAAATTAAAGTGATATCTAAACTTATATAATTAATTGTGGATAAGTGCGAAAATACACACATTTTCTTATCATATTCCCAATTTTAAAGAAACAACACAAAAGGCTAATATTTCAGCTGTATTTATGTATTGTCATTCCTATATCTGAACTTGCTGACCGAGTATCGCTTTGAAACGCCGGTCGTTGCACCCGCACTTCTTTTTTTGGGTCTGTGGTTACTGTTTAAAGGACACTGTCCTGTGGTCTGTTTTGTCTTCTGTCCCCTCTTAGATTGAGTCCATGATGTTGAAACTGCAGAGGCTCCAGCAGAAAGCCATTCTGGATGACGACTATGATGCAGGTGAACACTGAATCCAGCTTTTTCTTTATCAAGTAGATGTGGTTAACAAAGGCTTGGTGGAAGTAGAATTTGTGCCATGTTGTTTTGCCATTTTTTAATCAGCATTATTTAAAGAGCATGTCTGCAAAGTCATAAAGAACTGGGTGGAACTGTATCATTGCCATGTCCTTCTAAGTCATTTTAAGTATTTATTTATTGTTTAGGATTCAGAGGTTTATCAGTTGGAGGCCTGTTTTTTAAAGGAGAAAAGATATGGCAAATTGCCCTGTGGCCTTTGGTCATTCCACCACAAACTCAACAAATCATCCCAGTTAATCTCATGGATTGTTTTTTAAAGAAAAAAATTAAAGTACAACTCTCTGTTGTGTTCGCAAAGCAAAATTTCTCGACTTTTGCCCTTCTGTCCGTTACAATGAAAATATTTCAAAGGATGTTATATAAAGTGTTTATAATTTTAATTTAAGAATATAATTTTAATTTATTTATTATTAACAACTGAAACTAAACTTATTCAAGATATCACTTGAAGCAGACTAAAAGAACCCATTTTGGAAAATGTATCAAGTGGAGAGATTGATAGAGGAGATTCCACTTTTATTATTGTTTTACCAAGAACGCCAACGGTAGGAACTGTAAGGGTCAGTTGAGTTGAAATTAACCTTTCCTTTTATTAGATTCCTCACTCATTAGCTGGCAATCATACTGAGAAATTTGCTAAAGCATGTCAGAGCAGAAGGCCACATATTAACAAGAACAGAGGACAAGCTTTGTAGTTCACTAAGTGACCGCACAAACCACAAACTTACTGCAGTCCTGACTTGTGACTTGAATATTTAGAAAGTTAGAATTAGCGCGATGCTTCTGATATCCATAGCTTTCTGTTTAGGAGATTGCCAATATATAGGTTAACGAACAGTGCTTGAAAGAGCTGATCTCATCATCTTTGTCGACCAGCGAATGCATTGGTACAAAAGAGAAAAACATTCCATATAAGGGCAAAAGAAGAAGTTTGAAGCTTTCACAGCTTTGTGAACATACACACATTCATGTATCATCATTCACATTTATTTTAACGGCTTCAAAGAAAGGAACCAATTAGCCATAAGGTGTAAAAAATGTTTTCTGTGCTTTGACTCTGTAAGGACACAGCTCCTTTCGCAAAAAGCCCACTTTGACCTATATGTTTTCTTGGGGTGAGCCGAGGAAAGTTTGTTTTCAAAGCCAGCCAGCATGCTGACCCATTTCCTGGACCCTTGTGACAGAAATATTGTAATTACACCAGAGACATTGGTTGTCTAGTGGAACTTTTTGAACCCAGGGATTATTTGGGTCAGTACAGCATGTCTTGTCAGGTTTTTCTGTTTGCCTTTTGATATGGTATATTGGAAACTTCTCCCTAGCTTTTTAGAGACTAACTCAATTTGCTGTCAGCATGGATAGCTCAAGAACAGCTTTCCATGTAATGTTGCACGTGCAGTATGACGGTTTCCAGGATAACTTCACTAATTTTCTTCTTCTTGTTAAATCTGGACTATGGGGGGGTTATCATTTAAAATATTAAAAACAGAAGACAAAGACATGTATGATCCCTCCAGAAATTGTCCAATGTAGTGTTTGGGCCATCATGTTTTGCATGAGAAAAAATGCATGCGTAATGCTATTTTACATTTCACAGAGATTCCCTGAACCCATTCCTACTTACATCCGAGTCCCCTCTCTATAAATCTGCCCATGAGCGATCTGCTTTAGGGAAAGTTTGGTGTTTAAATATAGTATAATGACTGGTTGGTCAGACTGTGTAGACCGACACAATTTCCTGCAGGCACAAAGCATTACCCCCATGGAAACCGGAAGTTGGAACACCAACTGGGAATAAGCTGCTGACATGCAAGCCTTTGGTAGCATTCGCTGTTTAATATTTAACATGTTTGCTTGTATGATATTTTAGCGGAGCGTTTTGGGAAAAAGCTGGAGGAGCTCTGCAGAGAGCGAGACGCTCTAAAGCTGGGGTTACCTTCCAGACAACCCAGCGTGGCTTTGTTCCTGGAAAGGCTCAGACAGGTGGTGCACAGCGCCCTCCAGAGGACAGACCGCAGTCAGCCCAGGTCAGTCCCACAGCACGCTCACACATTTCACCCATTTCATATGGACTGAGGGTAACTGGTTTGAAGTGGAAGGCGGTTGTTGCATCAGGAAGCCAGAAGCCACTGGTTGTGGCCTCTCTGTGGGGAACGAGTCTTCAGCTCCCTTTGTGGCTTATCTCTGTGTGCTCTGATTTTCTCTCTCAGTCCATAAAAAGCTTGTAAGGCTAATTGATCGCGATCTAAACTGCCTGTGGGTGTGAGTCTGCGTTGTTGTTCCTTTCTGTTTGTGTACTCCCTGTGTTAGACTGGTGACCCGTTCAGGGTCTACCCTGCCTTTTGCTCAATGTCAGTTGGAATAGGTCCCGTCCACCCCCCTGCCTTCTGTAAGGGATACAGGTATAGAAAATGTATGGACCGTTCAGTCAGATGTATCATGAGACGTTCTTAAATTAGAAATGCAACTTTTTTTTCTCTCAAAGTCGCCGTTTTTCTTTAATGTTGTTTTCTGCCACTCTAACCTGTTATTGTTATTCTTGTGCTATTGTTATTTTTGACTTTGCACAGAGCCGTGGGGGAGAGCTCATAAGAATAGCTCTCCTGACAGGAAGGAAATCAGGTGGAGCCTCCACAGAGGGCATCCTGAACAAATGGGACCTAAAGCTCATGGAGCCACTTTGTGTTACTCAATGTGTTCATGGCAAAAAAGCCAAAATCAAAGTGTTTTACTCAAAGCTTAAGTCATTGATTTTACTTGTTTATAGTAATAAAAAACAATGTTGAGATATTATTGTAATAGGACATTTCCTAACAAAATTATGGAAGAGATGATAATAAGATAAGTGGTTTATTTAGACATAGTTGTATGAACAGCACACGTGATTGTGGAATCAGTACATTTCTTTGAGTGATAGTAAAAAAGCTGCCATTTGTAGATGAAATGTAGGGACAGCTTATGGAAAATAAAACATGATAGAGTTTCCCAGAAACTTTTGGAAAATCTCTGCAAGTCATGCCTTGTTTTTTTCTGTCTGGTCGACAGAGAGGGTGCAGAGCCAGACACAGAGGAGCGGGCCGACTCTACACAGGGTCCACTACAAAGAAGAAACCGTCTGATTGAAGAGAAACGGAAGGTTGAGGTACAGTCAGCACTCATTATGTCAGTTGTTTCACTTCCAGACACATCGTATCTTTCTGTGTCTGTGTGAGTGGCACCATGGTGTTTTTTTTCTCTAAAAAAAGACATTGCTGCCCACATATTCAAAACTGAATGGAAGTGTGTATAGAATAGAGGCAAATGGAAAGAAGAGAATTAAAACATGAAAAATATTTAATGAGTGAGTAATTTAGGACAGTTTTATAGGGAATATCTTTGATTCTTGCTTGAATTGTAACAATTTACAAAAAGGGTTAAATACAAACTTAAATCCTCGATTCATTTGACTAATTTTGATGTAAATTAGCTTAACAGAAACTTTGATCACAGAAAGTAAATTAAGTGAGGTGAGAGTGATGGTGAAAGTGATCCTTATGAAACCCTAAATCAGAGGGAAATCGCAGAGCTTCAGCAAAGACTGGCAGAGCTGAAGGACTGCAGTCGATGCCTGGAGCACCAGATCCAGCAGGAGGAGCAGCAGGTGGAGGCTGAGGAGCTGGAGGGCTCTGTGCTGAGGACCAGTTCCTTGGCCCAGCTCCGAGACATGAGCCGAACCCTGCAGGACCTCATCACCTCTGAAAACCGCACACAGATCTCCGTCTCCCCTCGACCCTCCATGCTCAGGTCAGAGTCACACGTGCGCACTTGATTCAGAAAATAGCTTTTTCATGTAAATCTCACTATGTTCACGATCAAAGATCACAAGTAATAATTTCCTGTGAAAAAAGGCTGATAGGAAATGTGTGCTGAAGATGCTTGTGATGCTTGGAATCTCATAAAGAGATATTAGCTCTATTTCAAAGCTCCAGGAAGTCTCTGAATGATACCGGCTTCGTTATAAAAGCAACGCTTTCTAGGTGCTAAAGTATTCACTGCAGGTTCTTTGGCATATGACTCACTTTGCTGTCCTTGAAGTTAATAGACTTATGTTGTTCACACTTGGGAATTGTTGAAAAAAAATGAAAAATGTATGTGAAAAATGGAAATTGCACCCTGGAGTGTGTGAAGGAACCCTTTTCATGTAGGTCACCAGTAGAGTCAAAAAATCCTTTAGTTATGCCACTCCGTAAAAATCCTGCATGATGTGTCTTAAAATAAAATGTGTCGTAAATATTCAGTGCAGAAATCATGCACCATTTGACTGTCAAGAAATTAAAAGATTTTCTTTATTCACAAATGCAGCCAAAATCAGGACGCATATTTACAACAGTTTTAACTGCAACTGCAACAAAATATGTAATGAACTGAGTAGATGGTAAGAGTTTCAACAGGTAAAAATAGTAAAAAAGAAAACAATCTACCTTTGTTTGTGTATGCATTAGAATTTTTATATAGTAAACCTCCTCTATGGGATGCACCAACTGAACCTTGTTTGTACAATGATTTGAGTCCAGGGGTGAGAATAACAAGCCCTGACACTGACATATTGAAGAATCACTGAATCCTTCATGTGAGGCACGATGTCTACATGTATTTGTTCACAAAAAGGTTGTTTCACCTTCTTGCCACCAGAATTTCCATGACAAAATCGATAACTTGAATGAAAATGATGAATTTTTTGCACAAAAAATGTTTTGATTATTAGTTTTTTTTTAACCTATTATAAAATTGGATTCACAACAGAAGAAAAAAAAAAACACAGGTTAATATATTACTAAGAAAAATACAGTTACTCTTCATTTATGTGGAATTTTGAAAAGAAAAAAGAATCAATTCAGCATAGAGTGCTTGAGGGATTTCCATTCATTTATCAACTGTGGAAGTCCTAAATCAGCTTTATGAGATGGTTTCAGATGGATTCCTTTCACAATAAAGGGATGCAGCAGGACATTTGTCTACCAGGTGGGGTTGCTAAAGAGCTTTTAATCCCACTGACTCTACAGCCAATAGCTATCCTTGAAGGTTTTTGTCTTTTCACAGGTATTTTCTTTCATTTGACTTATTTAGTGTGGTCCTAGGTTTACCGAATCATGTTTTCCAGCTCCACCTGTCTTTTGGCAAAGTAGCATTTACTGTATATAATGGGATGGTCAGATCTGTCTTGCTTGATGCAGCTTTTTCATGACATCAACCTTTTTTCCTTCTGAAAGCATTCATTCTCCTGCCAAACAAAGCCCTTTCCATAAGTAAATGCAATGAAAAGACTTTAAAGATATTTATTCAATTTCCAGGATCAATAAGGATGCATAAAGCAGCCCTAAGTACTTTTTCTTTATTCGTGTCCTCGCCTGTGCCTTCGATCCTCTTTTCGAACACCTGCTTGAACCTACTTTGAATTTTAATGGTTTTTCTCAGATGCTAATGATTAGTTTGCATCATATCCTCTGAAATTAATAGCTTGCGAGGTAGCTCAACGGAAAACCTCTCTGTCTTGACACTCGTTAGAAAGACATGTAAATTGTACTTGACCCATCATCACTGGAATGATTTGATATCTGACACACTGTCACCCCAACAGGAACACATTTATTCTTGTTGCCGACTGAAATTGCTGCCTCTGATTGGGTATTCTGCATCACATCTGTGGTCTTCACAATAATGACGTTTTTTGGGTCCATGTCTTAATAAACCAGGCTCTTCCTGTTTTCCATATCGGTTCTGCTTAATAGCTCTGAATGAAAGAAATCGAGTTAATCTTAATTAGGTGTATCCCTAAAAAACAGAGATGCAATAACGCTAACCATCAGAGACATCGCTTTACTCTGAACCATCTCGAACATCAGCTTGAATGACATGTAAACGACGTGCTGATTGTTGTGACATGACACAGCTGGGACCGCCTCAAGGTGACTGCGTCTCATAATGGATTGTAAGCTTATTTCTCTCACCTTCTAATTGATTTATACCTCTCTCACCATATAATGTCACCTTGATAGCTCGCTCTGTTTGCATGTTAGCATACAAACATACAAATTACAAGTGACATCACAAGTAGCCCTACTTAAAGTAATCAAGGAGACAGTTTTCCTAAATGAGCCACGTAATGAAAACACATAGACTTACTGTGTATGACTCTAGGTTTTCTGTTAGTGGTTTCATCATTTTATCGGTTACCTCCATTCAAGAAAACTTGTTACATTAGGCATGACATGAATTGAGAATGAAGGAGTCTCTATGGTTGGCTAAGTGATGGTAAGTTAAAGGGTTGAGATGTATCTCAGGAACAAAGTAACAAAGCGCTTCTTCAGACAAACACGTATATCAAAAGAGGTATTTTGGGACTTATTTTGGTGTAAATTACAATGCATCTGAGAACAGAGCTGGAAGGAAAGCAAACAAATGTTATTAGCATTTTCTATAATACCTCATACGCTGCCATTGCTATACTCAGTTAATTAAAAGACACGTGTTTGTGTTGAAAATGCATGCTAGTGTTTGTTTGGTCAAAGATAAGTCAAATTTGACTTGTCAGGAGGGTTTTTAGAAAATTTGCAGTTGTTGTTGTAATGCTGTTGTAATGAAATATTATTGATATTATTTAGAGCTTAAAAAATCTGATCCATTACGTGTACCTGCTCACACTTGACAAGGACATTTATTGACTTTGACAATACATTTGCCTGCAAATGTGAATGACTGATGAAAAGATGCCCTTTCTGAGGTGTTTGAATGGAAATAAACAAGAGGTTGCCGTTAGATCTAGCTCTGCTGGAGGAGTAAAAAAACAATGAAATAGTCAGTTTTGCACGTCATGTCATCGTTAATAAAGCTTGCTAGACTGCATTGGATTAAAAGAGGAGAACGAAAATCCTGGAATCTGTCAGTTATCAAAACTTAGTTAAAAATAGCAGATAATCCTCAAAGAGAGCAAAGCTTAAGCTGTTTAGTTGAGTGTGAAATTCAAGTAGATACTGTGTGCAAGCATGAAAGAAACAGTGTGTGATGTGGTGTTGCGGCATTCATGTTTCACATTTGGAGTCAAAAATTCTAAAGGATGAAGCCAAAATCAGTAAAGGTTTAGCTTAATTTAGTGTAAAAGGAAAGTTGAGTGGCAACATTGTTACGGGGGTCCTGTGATGTTTGCTTCCCAACCATGTGCTGTTACTTAATGCAATGACCTGATGCTTGGTTTAGTTCAATAGAGGTAGCCATATGTATGTTCACAAATAACAAAAAAGGTATTTTTGCTCACATTGTTTCCTTTAAAAAAGCTGATTTAAGGCCATATGTTGATAGCTACTAAGCCATGCAGCTTTATAAACGACTCAGTAAAGTGGTGCATTTTAAAATCTATTTTTTGGACCCCTGAAATTGAATGAAATGACTTTGGTCTTTGCAGACTTCAGGAACAAGAACAAGCACTGAATCTGTCCATCAAGGAAGCCACAGCTAAAGTAAGTCACTGCTCCTGTCATTTGAGTTTCTTTTTTTGACACTTTGCATGCAAACTCTGACTGACTGCGAATGAAAGTCTAATGAGCGGGACGTCAAAAACTACTTGTTTGTGTCATGTGCCAGTTTCAGTGGGCTTAAAATACATGCCAAATGTCAGTCTGAGCAGCACGAGGATTTCGACTCAGTTTTGCAATTTTCCTGTGTGTCATCTGTGTTTTCCTATGGGTGAAGGGCTCCATATGCTTTCCTGCCTGTGCTGTGTTTCTGCGATTCCCTCTCCCTTTTCTGCCGCTGGAAAAAACAAACAAACAGAGCCACAGAAATGTGTGGTAAGACAGTGCTTTGTAGTGTCACACTGTCCTTCAGAAACTCCTCATCAAACAACAACAACTGGCCCTAAAGGAAACTGGTGCCGTTTTACAAAAAAAAGCACTCTCATCACAGTCACAAGAGCGAGCTGACATGAAAAGTATACTCCTTAAATGACACATCCACACTGCTGTGACAAAATAATTGCTGGCATGAAAATAACACCTCCTCTCCATGCTGACTTTTTAAAATGAACAATTAGCCGGATGTTTTGAAATTTAATCAACGGTGTCACGATTTCAGCACTGTGAAAAAGCACTCCACAGTTATTTCCAGTTCATGCATCGCATGACATGTGGGAGTAAAAGTCCCTGGGGATAGCCCTGCATCGGTAATGCCTGTGCATTTGATCGTCTTTGCACAAAACTGTGTCAGATCCAAGGAGAAAATGACAACAAAAAAAATCCATCTCCGCATCCTTTTGAACCCTGAAAACAGTTCCTCAAAAGGAGGTTTTGAATCGCGGAGATTGTGCTGTCGCTGTTGTTCAAAGTGTATACTTTAAAGAACAGAGGTTTAAAGGACAGGAGTGAGAGCAGATTGGGGCCATCTTGGCTGCATTTGAAGCCAGCAACACTGCCGTGAATTCTGCCCTTAGCTGCTGTGCTCCATCTCTATCAGCCCGAGACGTTCAGGGCCTTTTTCCTCTGACCTTCTAATGATAACTTCTATGGTGATTTCACATTTCCCTGTCGGTCCCCATGAAAGGACAATCACTCTTGTTCTTTTTAAAGGTTATAGACAGGGTAACAAATCAGTCCTGATGCCCAGCTGTGAAGTCAGAGCAGGAAGAGCAGAGGATACAAATGAACACCCAGGATCGTCCAAGATTGAGGGTCAAGAAGCAAATGAAAACGGAATGGGAAATGAGCTACGCATCCTGTGGGATCCATGCGTCTGCAAGGGTTTCGCTTGTTACTGCTTTCTTCTCATTCTATCCTCTGCATCTTCTTCCCCGTCTTATCCCCAGGTGGTCATGAGTCAGAGACTGGGCAGCAGCCTGAGGAGGAAAGTCAGTGAGACTGAAACGCAGCTTTTGGCGCTCCATGAAGCCAAACTGGCGGCCATTTCTGGTAACTTTCCTCTCAGTGCCAACCTAACGCATCCCTTCAAGATTACACAGCCTTTATTTACCTCATTTACTTGAATCGCTCACCATTAGCCTCACTTAATTACGGCATTAATGACCAAGAAGCTCATTAATGGGAGGTGGAAGCTTAATGTCCTCCCGTGGTGCAACCATGCAGGTAATGACTTCAGCAGCGCCAAGGAGCTGAAAGCGGAGATGAAGGCGGTGTACCTGGAGCGGGACAGACTGGAGGCTCTAGCCAAGAGACTTCACAGCCTCAGCACAGGGAGCAGCCAGGAGCTGGCCAGGATGAAGGAGCAGCGGCAGCAGCTCAGACGGGAGCTGGAGCAGCGGGAGGCTCAGCACGGTGGGTCAGATCCAGGCCAGGGCCGCCCCCCTGCCGGACATCGCATCTCACTAAGATCAGATCCACAAATGATTATCAGTGCACTTTCTTTTTCTACAATTTGATGATGATAAAGTCATCACGACTCCCAGATTTCCCAATTACCCAGTGCATATGAAGAAGTATTGCATTGGAAAAAGTTTTGATTTTGTGTTACTTTAGCTTTAAGGTAGCATAAAAATAAATTTGACACCACGGAAGACAAAGAAGTCAATTTTCACACAAACAAGGTACAGGCCCACGTCCATAAAGCAATGATTCCCCCAAAACTTAAAGAGGTCAAAATTCCACCTTCTGTCTACTAAAAAGGACTAGATCTACACCACACCTTCCACTGTAATGCGGAGGAGAGGAGCTCTGGTCTTATACTACAGGCTTTTCACACACTTGTGACTGACTGCTGAGGTCAGCGTTATCGGGCTATTAAAGTACGTCCATACTGGTGAAGTTCCAGAGAAAAACAGTCAACGGAAATGCAATTGAAGTAAACATGACGAACCTGTGCTCTGGGTTATTTAGACTAATTATACTGTTTTTACGTCAATCCACTGCAGCATTAAAAACACTGACAGCCAAATAGCATTGATTATCTCATTACATTGCAATGGCTCTACTGGGAAACCTTGTTTGCAAGTTTACTGTACTATAGAGTAAAAACATCTCAACACAGACTCTAAGAACTCAAGCCCAATCTTGTCAGCTAATTTCCAAACTCTCTATTCCAATCAAGCATCAGAAGACCCAAATGATCCACAGATAAGATTCACAGAACACAAAAATTCCAGTTTCTTTGCTCTGATTGATTAGAGCCCTTTATAAGATGCTACTTCATAACCATTTATAACAGTTAGTGGTTAACGACTGCCAGAAGTGGCCCTTATTTATTTATTTTTACTAAAAATGGTTTTGGTTTGTAAAATGAACGCAAAGAAACGCTTTGTAGTTTTAAACAACCGTTTTCGGCATGACCTGATAAGGAGCTGAGGAATTTTCAGCCGTCCACTGAGACTTGAAAACATTTTTTTGTTGTTGCATATTTGAAAGCTGGCTTTATTCCTCTTTTAAGCCTGCATTCAAATGTGAGTCATGAGAACCCTTTAAAAGACCACTCTTCTCTTGATGTTGCCACTCACTGTGAGGACATCAATGAAGTGGTAGTGATCTGCTGTCAGTGGAAACGGGCTTTTTAAACGAGTTAGCTGAAGGATTGGCAGCTGTTAAGAGGAGGGGTGGTGGTGAGAGGCTGCAGGGGAGATGAGCTTAGATGGTGTGAAAAGGCGAGCTACGTTCAAGCCACGCAAGGTGCCAGAGTATGAGCACTCTGCATGTCTGAGACCTTAACACCGCATAGAAAAGTGCCTTGCTTATCAGGATAGCTAGCTTTACTAAAAACTCTAAATGGGTTTTGACGGCCCCAGCCAGATTGCTGCATTCTGTTGTCCATCAGTTAAAGGGAGGTTTTTAATGAAGGTCACTTTCCTTCCTGAGATGGGAGCACAATAGATGGGGTTCGGAAGTATTGAAAAAAGGGGCACAACAGGGTCTGGGTCTGGCTCCTGTTGCATCCATAAGGCGTTCAATCACCTTTCTAAGATGGAGTTGTATCTAACCCCTTAAGGTCTGTAGCTACAGCATCACATGTTCCATTGTTTTGACTCAGTTATACCTTTTTCTGTCACTAGGAGGCACCATTTTATTGTTGGATTTCATTCCGAGGCCTTCCTGCATTCAGCTTTTGTTTGGTGTGTGATGGTGCATAAATCTGACATTTTTGTTAATTTAGAATTTATATGAAAAAACAACAACTACTTTCACCTTAAAGCCCCTTTTCCCCTGTATATTGGAAATCACCTTCCTGGATTGTTGTTGCTGAACATGGTGAGGACTGATATTTAACCCTGAGAAGTCCAAGTTCACCTCCAGACCTTAAACACAGAGTGTTCTTTTCACAGAACGAAAAAACTCTGGAAATAGGGAGGCAGGAAAACCATTCTCATGCTATTGCTGCTGCTAAACAAAGGAATGGAAGACAGGTGGGTAAAACGTCACAAAGAGGACAGGGAGTTAATGATTGCTTGTATGGCTTGATTAAATGCACAAGTGGGTGCACAATATGGCAGAAGGCTCATTTTCACAATGTGTTGCAGACACCAAGAAAGGGGCTCATTAAACTGTCATCCTATTTGGTAATAAGAGGGTTGGCACACGCCGGCTGGTAACTGATAGCCCGCAAACAGTGCATTCCTACTCTTTAGCTTGAGGGGATTAGGAATTACTGTCAACATCAGGATGGCTACCCTTTTGGTTTCGAGCTTACATTTGTGAAACCAGTGTCATCTGTACCAGCTAAACAATGAGCTTGTTTTCTTTTATGAGGCACTTTTGACATTAAACAGACTCTACAGGAATATATATATTTTAGCCAATCTCACAATACACTCAGTCGAACAAGCAGCTTCAGTTTATTGAGCGACTCCGCCCTCAGTGTTGTGTGGTGTGGGGGCATTTTGGTCTGGGAGCCATTATGTCCATAATTGCTTCTGGCGTGAGTGTTGATGAATACCAAACTGGAGCTTTGATTCCCTGCTGGGACTATAATTTTCTCCCTAAGGGAGAGCTCTTGCGATGCTAAATTTTACGCATAAATAATTGAATAGCTGAGTAAGATGAGTAAATGACCCCTGGAGTGAGGACATACAGATGAGAGGGGAAGAGGGTCAGCACTGGAGTAGGTTTTTGATTCTTTAAAGTGTTCAGGAAATACTTACTAAAGGCTGTTAGTATGCTGTACGTGGTGTCGCTGTCTGGTCATTTGGCTACCTGTTACAGTTTACTGCTGCACATGGCCGCACTGTTACACATTTTAATTCATGGTTTTTGCTGGACTTCCACCACCATCTTTTCACACGTCTACAATTTTGAAACCAACAGCTTTCCCTTTTCTCAGGCCTCAGATGAGCTGCACTTCTCCACCTCCAGGAGTGTTTGTCACAACACTCTCACTTTGTGTTTTTTAACAAATGCAATTTTCTCATACTGTGGTGTCAGCCCTGAAGGTGAAGACATATATGATTTATTCATATGACTGCCACTTTCAGGGTGCTTATGTTGAGTACATGATGGAATTTGTAATAGCTCTTTACCTAAAGAGCATCTGAATGATTGAGAGGTGATCAAGTGGACCTGGGGGAATGTTTCCTGGTTGTTGTCTGTGGAGTCAGAGCAATATTCATGTTTCCTTTGGCTTTGGAGAGGGTGTGACGTCCTTGTGAATTTAACTTGAGTGTCGTAGCCCATCTAATAAAAAAAAAGGAAAGAATAGAGGTTGATAGAGACCAATCTACATTTAGACTGTATGAGTCTGTTTCTTTTAAGCCGATCCATGCTTTGACTCAAAAAGAGGTTGAGCTCAATATAAGTATTTCCTCATGCTCCTCCACCTCATTAATTGCAGGCTTTATAATCAATAATCCAAATCCTTTGGTTCATTCATCTGCCAGTGTGTTTACTGTTAATTATTTACCAAGTTAAATGCTAAGTTGAAAAGCACGCCAAAAAAAGTGTGTATAGTGGCTCACAACCCTTGCACCAGAGTGGAAGCGCTGTCATTGTGAAGATGTTGGAATACTGACATTTGCTTTCAGCTTACGCTAACCTTAACTCAAAGAGCAGCCTGTTGAAATTCTTCCCCAGGAGATGACAGAACCAAATTCAGAAATGTGACGTGGTGGAAAATGAATTTACTTAGAGTTCCACAGGAAGCCAGAGAAGTGATAGCATGTGAGACTGATGGAGAGAGACTGTGGGCATGTGAAGATTTGAGCGTGTCTTGCAGTTTTTACAGATTCATATTCAGAGAAGAGGCTGTTTTGCAGCTGGCTTTTGAATTCTGTCAGCTTATCGAGTTTGACTTGAGTGATAATGGCACTTTATATTTCTTAAAATCTCAGCCAAAAACTTTGTCATATCTATCTCAGGCACATAATTGGTACACAAAGCCAATTTTTGTCAAATTAATTGTCTTTGTTGTGCATTCTTGCAGAGCCCCTGAGTGTGTTCTACTGTGTCAGCCACTGCTGGAGCATCACGGGTTATTGAGCGTCTGTCTTACATCAGCTGGTCCTGCTTCCTCCATTAGCTCTCCTGCTGTTGTGCTCAAATACCTTCCTGCAAGGTGTCTGCCTGTGCTGACTGTGCATTTGTGTAACCTGCAGTGCCATCGCACTCAGACAGCCCAGGCTGAGCTTAAACACATTAATCACAGTCGATGCCTTCAGCTCAATTACAAAGACACACAATCTCTCTTCTGCCGTATTGTACACAAGCTTGTATAAGTCTCATATCGACGGTGCTGCGTTAGCACCAATCTGCCTGTAATTTGTCAGACAACAAGAAGGCCTCGCATACAGAGAAAGCTTTTGTTGTTGCAAAAAGTGGAAGAAATGATCACGTTATTCACTTTCAATTAGTCGGCCGTTAAAACGCTCAAATCCACGAAGCTTGCAATCATCAACTATAACCTCACTTTTGGGAATTGTACATCAACTAGGTCAAGGTTCCCCTGTAGTTACTTTCCTGGTCTGCATGTTGACAAACTTCACATCTGTTTGAGTAAAGCCATTTCTTTTTTAGTTGACCATTACATTTCTTAGTAGATGTGATGTCCTCAGAGTCTGACTAAGTTCTGTTTATCTTATGAATGAGTGGCCTCTTCGATTTTGGCCAGGGCCCTTGGCAGCAATCAGAGATGTCTAACGCCTGCCGAGATCACTGGTGTGATGGGGGGCTGAGCTCATTAATTTCCAATGCAGGCTTTCTGAGCGCCTTTGTGAAGTCCCCGCTACACCAAAGATACTGCTGCTTGTATCGGGGGAGCCACAAAGCGCCTTCCTTTTATGAGCCTTTTAGCACCAATTTAGTCCGCCCGGCCTGCCAGTGAGGGCGGCCTCCCGCAGACCTACAGGAAGTGGTAATATCACCCGGTGCTCTGGTTCCACAGAGCACAGGAGGAGGCACTGCTGCTTTATGTTGTGTCCCATTCTATTAGAATGATTATTTTTCTTCTGCCGTGCCTGTAAAGGCTCACTAGCTTTGCCACCGGTTGGCATGGTGACAGGATGGCGTTTGTCGGTTCTCTGCATATAAGAGAGTAAACAAAGGCAGAAATACAATATTGAGGAAACAGTACTCTCTGTGTCTCATGTCTTAATCCGCCTTTACAACGACGGTTTCCATTTGACTCCACCTGTCCTTTCTACATCAGCCTCTCATTTTAACAGTAACCTTCTTTGTCGTCTTGCATCTTCATTCTTTTGGCTGTCTGAGGTCTGAATTAATGTCTATATGCATTATTCAATGGCTGTCTACTTTAATGCAGCTGAATGGAGCCAAAATGAGTCGAAGTTGAGAAAAGAGATTCTGTCATGTGGGTCAGGATCCCACACACTAATTAGATGATAAGTAATATTTGAGGTGTCTGGCTCACCGGCACCACATCTGCTCTGTAGACGTGATATCTCCTGCTGTTGCGTCTCTCTTTCTTCTGACTGAGCAGATTTGGCTACTTTGAAGCACAACAACTTTTGGAGGGAGGTCTGCATTCGCTCCATGGTCGTGCAGTTGCCATAAAACCGTAGTGTCTCTGTTTTATTTCCGTATCAGCAATAATCTGCGGCTGTGTCACAGCCACTTTGTCTCCGACATTTCCCTTTCCTTCCCGCTGTGCCTGGCCCTGAGCCTGTCACATCCCCGAGCTGATGCTGTCTAATAACCGTCATCAAGATGATGATACAATTATATTTAAAATCTTGGGGATTCAGAACATCCAATTAGGTGACTTTGTCTCTGTGTGAGTTCTTGTCAATGTGAACAAGCTGAGTGGCATTACTCTCCAGCAGTTTCCAGGAGTTTTTGGCCTCTCGCTGATCAAAACTTATGGAAGTTCTGCATGCTTTATCAGAGAAGCAGTGTAGCTTTATGGAAAACACTGTTATTTGCATTCATTTCAAGAGTGAGGCGAAATTTGTGATATTATGTCGCTAAAGTAGACGTGGGGCTTCAGTAACAGCAGACAAAAACAGAATCAGGGAAAACAGCAAGCTTGCTCTTTCTTTAACTGACATTTGACTTCTCCTCAGATAAATGTGAATGTTTTTACAAGCACGAAGGGATAAACAAACACAGTATTTGCCTGGGAAATAACAGTTAGTAGAAAAAGCCTCTTAATCATTTTGCGACCTCATTGGATTGTCTTGTGCCCTTTTTGGGAGCTCTGACCTCAGAGCGTGAGAAAGCGCAGATTCTGCTGGGGTTTGCAGCTGGATATACGTTGAAGCTAGCGCGGGAGATTTATGAATCTTAGTAGGAGGAGGAGCATTTGTACTGCTATATGTGTGCATATACAGATAAGCCCAAACATACATCAAGAGTCAAGAAATAGTTAACACATAGCTATATCAACACTGGAGTCCAGAGCTGAACCCTCAGAGGGAACTAAAGACCAGAGAGTAGGCAAGGAAGCCTTTCAAGCTCTAAAGGCCTGGAGATCGATACAGAATGGGAATGTCCGAAAACGGGTCATTTGTCACATTTGTCATTGATAATAGAGTGCTACTATGAGTTTTTTTAAAATGGATTTTCTAATAGAAACATTTATTTTAGAAATTTTTTGGTCACATAAAGAATTTACCAATTTTTTATGGCTATAAATTATTTTTTGGGCTTAACTGTACATATGCGGTGCAGTTTCATAGCAGTGCATCCTATTGTGCTGAAGGGCCCCCTGCTGTGAGGGGCATATTCTCATGTTTCATACATGAGCTCATTAACGGTGCTCAGATTGCCCTCCCCTCCACCCTGAAAGGCGCTGAGCAGCCTCCGTCTGCCTCCTCAGGCACAGCTCTCTGCTGGCAGAAGGGCACAGGAAGCAACATAAGCTATCCATCCAACTTATGCCCCTCGGAAAATCTGGCAAGCTATACGGATGATGATGAAATCCCCTTTTATCCTCAGGCCGTCTACATTTTTATCCTTTCTTAGAGTGGAGGGAACGGTCTTTCCTCAAATGTGTGTTTTTGGTTAAAAAAAAATCCAGCTGGTCATCGGTAGTTTCTCTGCTTAACACCTTCCTGACTGGGATGATAACTTATTTTTCTTCAATGCGACTGTAAAACATAGCAAAGCAAGCAGCATTAGAGCTGTTATTTGTTGCTAAGATACCGCATCACAACCATTAAAGTAGAAAACCAAGGTACAAGTAACAATTAGTTGCTTTCATTTTTCTTTTCTCTCCCCGCAGAGAGCCGGCTGAAGGAGAACACTACCAAGTACATGGAGCTGTTGGAGGACAGGTTGCACAGGTATGCGCAGACAAAGTCTGACTGTTTTCAAATACCTAATGAACAAGGAGACATAAACAGAACAACAGTCCCTAAGGAAATTCCTCTCACCTCAGTTGCCCTCTAAACATATCACTGTTTCCTCAATACATCAACTCAAACACAATATGAAGCCCTCACACCTCCCCCAACTCCCCCCACCGCTTTTTTCCTCACATTCTATCGTCTCTCACCTGCACTGTCTGTCTATGTCCTCTCTCCCTCTTGTGTAGTTTCAATACCTGATTTTTTTTAGACCTCTACGTCAACACTATGTATATAATAAATCACTGAGACTGTTTATATGGCTACAGGTTGCTGAAAAACCCATCAGACAGTTTTAAATGTGGTGAGTGGCTGAGTTTTTTGTGGAGGGAAGTGCAACCCAGTCGACTTCCGAAGCCTCACACCTGTTTATGATTCTGTCTGTGCTCCGTTAAAAGTGCTGAGAGTGGCTCCTGATGAGTATAGGTAAATCGAATAGCACCTGCAGTGCGTTTTATGCATCCCACATCCAGTGGTCATGCTTTTGAAAAGCCTCAGAGACCCAGTGTCTCTACTTATCTCTGTTTATTGTGTGTGTCCGTGGAGCTTGCTTTCCGTGTTGTCTCCTTTGAGAGGCAGGGTCACCTCTCTGGATGGCAGCCAGGAATTAGTGACATACAGGGTTGCACAGAGCAGAGGTCTGTGTGGCCAAGGAGCAACATGGCTGCGATCTTTGTGCTCAGCGGGGAGGCATGCCTCTGGACCGTTTCTGTCAGCGGGGCAGATGGCTACTTTGTGTAGCATTTGTATAATTTTTCAGGCTACCTGTCGACATTGTGTGACAACTAAAAAGCAGACATACAATAAAATGTTTGATGTTAGAGCCCAGCTTCTCAGACAGGAGCCTAAGGCACCAGGTTTCAATATAAAGGGTGCTGAGATGGAGTTTTTTGCAACTCAGACAGGTAGAAATAAAAAAAAAGATTTTTCAGAGAAAAACTTCAGACATTATTTCACTTCTGTGTGTAACATTTTTTAAGGTCAAAACGGAAACACGTTTTCGAGACATTTATGCAGCATTTATTAAATAGAAAATTAACTTCTGTCTGTTTGTCTGACTGGTTGATAACGAGAACAACGACTAGTTGGCGCAAGATCAATCAGGTATCTATTTCTCAGAGTTCCCAGATAAAAGCCATTCCACACGCACAAAAAAAGAAAGGATGGCATGGTTGCGAGCTGAGGTTTGCTAAAAGGCAACTGAACAACTCTCAGACCACAAGTAGAATCCTCTGATCTGATGAAACAGAGGCTGCAAAATCTGACCATTATTCCCACCAGAACATCTACCAGAAACCAGGCAAAGAGCAGCACCTCATTATTAACATCCCTCCAGCCAAACGTTGAGAAAACAGTATTATTCCGTGAAGATACTTTTCTCCTAGAGAGAATGGAAGACTAGTCAGGATGGGTGGAAAGATTGGTGCAATAGTGTGTACAAACCCTTTCTGTAGAAAGCTTGGAAAAACTCTGAAAGTCCTGGAGTGACTTTGCTATACTTCCATACAGTCTGTTTCCCTAGAGAGTCAGCACCCTCTCTATTTTCTGCAGTTCAGCTTTGTAGATTCTGCCCGCTCTTGCTAAAAAACAGACACACAGATAAACAGCTGAATTGCATAGTTTTAGTTTTCTTTTCCCTTTTTGGAAGAAAATTTGGGAATTTCTAACCTCCAAGACTGAGTTCTATGTTTTGATTCTGTGTTTGTCTCTCTGGTGAATACTTTATGGGAAGAAAAGCTGATTATAATCTGTAAATACTATCTCCGGTGACACATTACAATTTTTGGAAGAACAATAGTGTCAAAGAGAACCCTTTTGTTTAAGTGTAGGCCTATTTTCCCGGTCATCACATTCAGTAAGAAATGATTGGCTCACACACAGAAGATCAACCTTCGTACCCAGAGGCGATCCACATTCAATCATACACGCCGCTCCGATTTTAGTTGAGCACCGGTAGCTTCCACCAGCTCCCGCCAGGCACAGTGACACATATTGTGTCTGGCTTGATTGAACGTGCAGTTTTCCTATATAAACCACTAACACACATACACACACACAGACACATACAGAGCCTCCATCATCCACTGTAAATGTTATCAGTCTGTCCTAATGTACATTATCAATGATGGAGTGCTGTGGTGATGGGAGGTAAGGAGAGCAGGAGGGGATACGAGTAGAGAGCAGCAGATTAGTGTGGTTAGATGCTGGTCTCCGTGGCGACGGATGGTGTGGAAAAAACCCAATTATCTCTTCCTTGCTAAAGACTAGAACAGGATGATAAAGCAGATGCTCCAAGTGTGTCACCAGAGCAAAAATAAATATCTATTTTTCTATTCAAATGATCTGCACCATGGAGCTGTTTTTTAATATGTCATGTAGATGTTTTATGAGGACAGCCTTCCTGTGTTCGTCCTACTTGTACACACTTCTTCCACTGAGGAGATTTGTCGGACGTTTATCGATTGTGAAGGATTCGAAACACCTAAGGTCGAATCCACTGAAAAGCTCATGCTCACCTTGTTGAAGATGAATATGTTGTGTGCATCTAAGCAAGAAAACTATGTGAAAATGTGCTGCTTTATCCCTTCACATTAACAAAATCTCCTGCGAGCAGCAGCACCGTGTAAACCTCGCCGGGCACCCCACCTTATAAACCCACCTTCTCCTGCCGTCTGTCACTTCTCCTCTGGTGCCTATCTTGTATTTCCACATATTATTAACACCTCTATACAGCTGGTGTTATTTGAGATGGTAAAGTTGAGGTGAGCCATTACCGTCTCCTTTTCCTCCCTAATGTGTGAATTCTCATTGAGCCTTTAGACTCAATAAACTCAGAATGGGAGGGAAGAAACATTTTTTTTCCTCTCAGTATTAGAATTTCTTGGGTAGAGAGTCTGCTAAGTGACTGATATGTACATCAAAAGCTGTGACTGAATGTTGGAGTGGTTTGTGTCCACATTATGCTGGACAGGATTCAGAATGTTGGCTAGACACTATGCAAACCTGCGATATGCTTTTTTTTACTTAGGAGTGGTCCAACCAAACCTGCCTGCCTGCACCAGCAGGACCTAATCACTGCCCCATCTCTCTCCAGTTACGGTGTATTTATAGTCCTCCCTCGGTGGCTGCCTGTGCGCATACGTAATGCCTGGAGGAGAAAGAGCGGTCCCGTCAGTCAGCAGACACGCAGGAGAGCTGAGCAGCAAGACTGTGTCTGCGTACCTCTCCTTTTTTATTACCGGGCCATCAGCGACGCAGCGGGCCCACACCCTGCCATGGTCAGATAACAGGTCCAGCAACCACCACCAATTAACCTCAGAGCAAAGAGTTGACACCAGCGGGCACCAGAACGCCAGCGGGCCGGGGCGCTGACATGTTATGGGACTTCTCCGTGCACGGTGCCCTCATGTCACTGCCAGTTATTTGTGTTGAATTGCGGCTGCCACTGAAGAGAAGCCTCTGTGATGGACGATGCCAGCTTTGACATTTTCAGAGGAATTTATGATCCTGCAACGCTGGCTTCCAGCAGAGAATGATTTATGAGGGTGTATGTGGACGTTAGCATGTGTGTCTGTGTGTACGCGTGTCCCTCTCCTTTTCCAAGGAGACATATAACAATGGCATGACTCATTGGGTGCATCCCCACCATGGCACAATTCAGGAACAGTGGTGTTGGGTAGTGAGCTGGCAAGGCCAGATTGGGTGGGGCCGAGCGATTTTCTCCATTGTCTTGCTGCCAGATGAAGGTTAGAAAACAGCTGAGAGGCGTGCGTTGGCAGGGTACAGAGGCTGGCAGCCTTTTCAGGCGGGAGATGGGCTGGAAAACAAGTGGCATTCAATTTTCAGGGGGAGACTCTCATCCCCGCGTGAGGGAGGGGCAGCAGAGGGAGAGATTAAACAATACTGTCTGGGTGCATTTTGCTCTCGAGTTTGTTTACGTATAATTGAGCGAGAGCTCTTTCTCAAATCTGGCTGCACAGCACGAGAGCACACTCTAGGTGAAGTGAGGAATATATTTTAGAAGCTCATATGTAGGTTTATTTGTTCTTTAAATCATTTTTAATCCCTCAACAAGAGCATTAACTTTTGTGACAGAGAATCTCTGGGGAAACTGCCATAGACAGACAAGCGGTTAACTTTTGGTCGTCTGATGAATACTTTTCCCCTCAAGTTTCCTTTCTGTACAGGCATAGATTCTTAGAGAAACAGTTGCTTTTTATTTGTGATGTATAGATAAAGTATTTATTGTCCTCTCCAGTGGATATTTTAGCTGAAAATCTATTTCTGTCAAGATTAGTAAATACGAGTCCCAAAATGTCACCTGAGACCACATTCATGTGGGAATAATTTGTTATCTAAAGGTCACTGGGAAAGGGGAAATAAGTAGAAAGCATATTGTAAAGGTCAGCGGAGGGTTATTTGTTTATATAAAAAAGGAAAAATCTTCTTGGAAAATCTCAAATGACCTTACAGTTCAATTTCAGTATTAAAGTCACTGTGGCAAAACATGACATAACCAGAAGAGAGTATATTAACGTCTAAAAAAAAAAAAAAAAAAGACTTCAGACAGAAATGCCCAGGAAGTGACCATACTGCAATGAAATTCTGTATTCTCTAAACTTGCATTATGATACCGCAAGGATAGGGGAATAGTGACGAGGGACTGTTGATATTTTAACAGACTTCTTAACAAATAATCATCCTGTTCTGATGATTTGCTGCCCTGCAAGCCTGGACAGATAACACACATCTATGCTCACTTTTTTTGTATCTAACGCTACTTTGCAGGAAAAGGGCATGCTGTCAGGATAAAATTCACTCCCATTACGATTTCTCAATGGAATTGTACCCCCCCCCCCCCCCCCCACACCCCCTTTTATCCATAGAGATGCTGCTAAAGATGACTTTTACTGCTGCTGTGCTCAGTCAGCTTGTTATAGGGGAGTTTAATTTTAGTTTCTCTTTATTCTGTGACTCATTGCAAAAATCTGGGTTTTGAGGCAATATCTGTGCTTCATTCATACTGACACAAAAGTACTCACTAGAGCAGATAAACGCTGTCCATTTTACTTCCAGCATAATAAGTAATAATTCACAGTATTTTCAAGGAATTTTTTTTTTATTTCTACAGACCAAAATGATTTTTTGTTCTTTGTTTTTTGGGGGGATTAACAAAATCTTTTTAGATTAAATTCAGGGCTCTATGTTATCTCATTGAACTCATATTTTTTGGCTGGCATGCAAAAGCTTGGAACATGTGGTCGCACTGTTCCACGCTGAAGGTTAACGGTGCTCACCCACACATACAGCTGCACTTTTAAGTGTAATGATGGGGGCAGAAGTAATCTTTAAGTACCTACATTCAAATGCCAGCACTTATAGAAGCTCTCTGGTGTACTGATCTTAACCCCCATGGTGCACAATGTATGCATGCAGAAATCCCCTCAATGAGCACGAAGGAGTGGTGGATGATTTGAGGGCTGTAGGGAAAGTATTAGTATCACATAAAAAAAAGTCCTAATAAAGTTGAAGAACAGAGGAATAGTATCACCTCTACCTAAGTTTACTCTCTGGTTAAGGCACAGTTTCTGATTCTTTGATTAATGCTAAAATATTTGTTTTGAGAGTGAAGTCTGTGTTCTGACCTGAGCGCAAAAGCTTTGATTGAGTTCATTGACATTAAACATGTTTCAGCATATTTTTTAAAGAGCAATTCTCAACAAAAGTGTGTAAAATCTGTTAACAATTTGTAGAATCTGGTAACGGTAACAGTTAATTGTTCCATCAGAGTGTGTCTGTTTGACCTGTTTGGGACGGTGTGTCCCTGTCTCTCTTCAGCTGTGGCTGTCAAGGCTTGGAGCGGATCTGGGAAGCCGACCTGGAGGCCTGTCACCTGTTCCTGCGCGGCCTCCAGTTAAGAACTCCCAGCTGTGGCGGGGCGGACGTGGAGGACCTGCCCTCTGCGGCAGCTCATCCTCCCATTCAGACATGCACCAAAGAAGAGGAAGACTGCGCCATGCTCACTGCGTTAGGAGGGCGCTGGTGTCCTGAGGCCAATTTACAGAACTCAGAGTTCACTAAGGTAACAGCAAATGTATTGTTAACAACACACAATGTTTTATTCATCCAAATGCATGTGCTCGGGGTGGTGTGCATCAGAGAGGCTGAGATGTGGAGTTCTCTGACTATAAAATATTCACTTGTGAGACATTTGTTCACAGGTTTTAAGACCTTTCTACACATAACCCGTATATATCACTGAAAGGTCAAATTGGAGCACATGTTTGCGGAGTTGGTTGGGTTTTCTACTTTGCCCTTTGTAATGTGGTACGAAGCATGACCTCAAATAAACACTGCCCACTCGGTCATCATTACCACTTGACTGGAGAGGAAGCTTTCAGTTCAGGCTGCTTTGACAGTCTAAATTTTCTTTCGACCACAGTGAGTTGAGCACCAGCCGATTAACTTGTTAGCTTGAAGGTATTTCTACACAACGACAACGTGGGCGGGAGGAAGGCAACCATTTGGAAACTCTTTGGCTCCGTCAAAGAGTTTAATTCTAAACGGCACAGAATTTCAGTCTGTTTCTGCATGATTATTTGCGTTTAGTGGGTCTGCATGTGAGTGTGAGTTTTCTGTGCTGGTCTATCCCGCTGTGAGTTAAGGTCCAGTGCCTCAGGGCTAACTCATTTTCTTCTCTTCTCACACTTTCCTCCACCCACGTAGTCTGATAGACTCGTCTGAGTTCAGAACAAAGCCAACAGTGCCAGCAATGAAATAAATAGCATATTTGACAGACATGTTTTTGGGAGACTATATTTTGTTATTTTGGCTTATTCTGATTATGATTTTCCAAAATGTTTGCCATCATTTTTTTCATTTACATATCTGAGTATTGATTTACTGATCTGTGGCCAGAAGCAAATGTTTGTCAAAGATCTTTTCTGGCACTGTTGGCAGAATGTCCATTTGATCCATTAAACTACAACTTGCTTGATCTTCCCATTTTATCAGCCTTTCTAACTTTTCTCTTGGATCTCCTTTATGTGTCCATTGAGTCGTCTATCCCAGCTTTTCCTTGACTGCGTTTTAGAAATTGCATGCAACCATTTTCTGCTCTGCCTTTGTTTCTCTCTGCTTTTCTTTCTCCCCCTGAAGCCCGGCCCCTCCTAACATGTCTCCAAGAACTAAAAGGTGAGACAGCCAGCCATTTCTTCTCCTTAATATCTATCCTGTCTGCTCTGTTGTCTGTAATATTGTAAATAAAAAAACACCGGGGATCAATACAGGGATTTTTGTGACTGGATTTTCTCATCAACTTCTTTTAAACTATCTATGTCAGGCTTTTCATCAAGAACAAAGAGAACAATCTGCCAATTATGTTTTTATTAAATATGTGGAAGCCATAAATATTCTTTTTTCTTTTTAATCTAAATCAATGGGCTGCATTGATGGCATGGATCACAGCCATATCAGAAAAAAGTGCTTCTGTTGGACAACTCTAACAATTTTTTTGACTCTATCATTGGATATGTGAGCCTGGTAACCATCTGCCTCTTTGCCTTTAAACCAACTAGAGCTTTTGCCTCTTAACTGCAACCAGTTTTAACCTGAGAGACGGCACTGTTTTTCTCAACATTAAGTCTCTCAGCGATGCAGTTCGTGTGAGTGTGTCAAAGCCACAGCCGGTTGAAACTACCAGATGCAGGATGAAGAGTTGTTGATGGTCGGCTGTGTTTACCTGAGTGCTTAGCGATTACAGCAGTAAAAATGCACTGGCATTTTTAATTAAAAACACTAATTAAAATGGCTGATTATTATTTGTTGCTACTTGGCCATCTTATGAACTTACCCCGAAGCCTCAAACAATATGTTAGCCTCCAAGTGGAACAGTAATTACCTTCCTCCTTAGCAAGGAATGAACAATTACATACCTTGAATACTAACAAAGGCAACCTGCGGCGCAGATGAGCCAGTTATTCTGGTTCCCTTACGTCTGTGTTGGTGAAGAATAATTATGACCCCCTTGCAATATGTTGATGCTGTTCGCATACAGTTTGATTGCATTTTTAATAATTCATGAGCGAGTTTACGACTGTGTGACCTCAACAAATGCTCCCTTTTGTTGCAGAAGCTGGAGGAGTTTTTGTTCTGCATGGAAGAAAATCACCCCGAGGTTGGTAATGCTACACACTCACTGTATGTTACAAGTGTGAGTAAAGTATGATGTTGGTGAGAGGGATGCAGAAAAGCCGGATCGCTGCCTTTAACTTAAACATGACCTCTGTCAACTCTTTCACTCTTAGATCAATACTGATCTACATGAGAAACCTTGGCCGCTTTCCCAGACTGTCCTTATTTTGCAGCTTGCCTTTTTAGGCCTTTACTTATCCTAGGGAGGAAGGGGAATGTTTGCTGAGCATGTATTTTTCTTTCAGCACTTTCCTGATTTATAATCATGCATTCCTTCACACCAAGTAGGCAAACTGCGCAATGCCACGTACTGCATACTTGTTAAATGAACCTCCTAAGCTGGATTTTTCAGCAGAGGATGCTGATGAAAGTCTGCTCAGATATGCAAGTTTAAATCTGGTCTCCCACTTAAAATTTTGCACTTATTCTCTCTCCTTTAGTGCTATGCGCTATGTTGTTCCTGATTAATGTTTTAAACCGTTCACCTGGAAACAATGAAGTTACATGGAAAATAATGTCAGGAAACTCGTTGAGCTCATTTTAAATAATTTACCCAAAAGTCATTTAAATGTGCTTGAAGCATAACATCGGTTTAACCTTCATAGTAAAACAACTGCAACAGGTGGTCGACAACCCATTCTAGAAATACGATTGATTGATTGTCGAAAAACTGGCTGACACAAAATGGTTCAGTCACAGGAAAGTATGATGCATCACTGAGTCAAATGAGATGATGGCTGTTTAATGGGGTTGGTATCTTTCTTACGATGGTGTTTGTGATAGCGCAGAGGAGCTGGATTCTCCGCAGAGCCTCTGACCTCTTTCTCCTTTCCATAATGACTTTAAGTAAATGATTTCCACTCAGCTGTTGCCAAGCGGCTGCCCTACTGCCACAATGGAGATTGATTGGTGTGTGTGTGTGTGTGGGGGGGCTTTAGTGCTCCTCTGTTTTCTTGTAATCTCTACTAGTTGTTCTTTTGTCCTTTCAAGGTCCTGGCTTGCGCCCCTTCATTCTGACCCACTCATTCTGACTGAAAGGTTTAAAAGTTGTTTTTTTTCTAAAAAATAAAAAAACGAGAAAATTGTTTAATTGTTCAACAGTCCCCGCTTTGATATGAACCGTTATTGTTCATTCAGGTTGTGTTTGCTTTGATCTCAGCTGAGAGGTCATCAGCGTTCAGCATATTCTGTCCAAACTATTTGATTTATTAGAATAATAACTGAAGGCTATCTTTGTATATGATACACAGTATTTGCTGTGAGTGTGTACCTGTAAAATCAAACCCCTTTCATGTGGCACATGTGATGTTGGACATCCCCTCGAACAGAAGCTTTTGAGTATCACAGCCAATCAAGCATTACAAAAGAGAGCCATACCTGCAAACAATTGTGGTGATGCTTTGTGGGACAAAAGTGGCCGAAACTAAGGCTGCATCCAAAATCCTACTCCCATTTGAATTGTGCCTAAATTATGTGTACTCCAGTCTGTCATCACACAGACTATAAAGTGGCTGATTTTTGAGTGCTTATTGATGGCAGTGATTGAAATGCAAAACATTGTCGTTGTGAATCGAGCCGAGACAGGGTCAGGAGCGTTTGCTGAAAATGAAAAAGAAAAGAAAGTTTTTGTTTTTGTGGCATTTGATTTTCTAAAACTTTGCAAATTCATCTGGCTAAAGGGAAAACATATTGATGTATGATGATGTATAGGGAGAAAAGAATAGACAGACAGACAGACAGACAGACAGACAGACAGACAGACAGACAGA